GAATTCATTGAACCTAAAAGATTTACCAGTCACCACGACATTTCACACAAATACCAATCAAATCCTAAGGTTATGTTCGCAAATCATAGTACTAACATCAGTCATCTTAAATGTGAGTTTTGTGCTGAAAATCACAAATTATGTTTCTGCAAGAAATTTATAAAATTAAATGTCGATAAGCGAAATGAGTTCGTAAAAAGCAATAAAATTTGTTTCAATTGTTTAGGGGGGAACCACGTAGTAAGTGACTGTCAAAAGACAACGTTTTGTCGCATATGTAAGAAACGCCATCACACTCTTCTACATGTCAATAGTACTAATTCTGGTAAGATTGAAGAACAAAATTTTAATTCCAGTAATAACTTGGAAAAGACAAGTATTTCAAAAGATAAAGTACCGATTGTCTCATGTCTTTCAACGGGTGCAGTTGCCAAGTATCGACATGTCTTATTAGCCACAGCGTTAGTAAGAGCTCAGTCGAATACAGGTCAATTTCAAGTCCTGAGAGCCTTGGTAGACCAGGGCTCGCAAGCTACCTTTATTACTGAGAATATGGTTCAGTTCTTAAGACTAAAGAAAACTCCGGTGAAGGGATTGGTTTCTGGTCTCGGTGCAGATAAAGTAACTATATCAAAATACATGGTTACTCTTAAATTGCAATCATTAAAACCCAATGTTGAAATGAATGTTCACGCTTATGTTTTAAAAACTCTTACAACGAATATACCTGAAAGAAAATTGGAATCATTACAATGGATGGAACTAGAACAATTAGATTTAGCAGATCCTGAGTTCTATAAGCCGAATAAAATAGACATCTTATTGGGAGCTGATGTCTACAGTCAGATTATGATGGAGGGTATTAAAAGGTCACCAAACGGTTCTGTTTTGGCTCAGTGCACCAGCTTAGGATGGATTTTATCCGGGTCTGTTTTACCTGAAATCGAAATAAATGAAATTACTACAAATAATATCACTGTGTTGCACGCAAATGTGAATGAAAACGATGCTTTAAAAATATTTTGGGAGATCGAAGAACATATAAATAAAAATAATAAAATACTTACCCTAGAAGAACAACGATGTGAAGAAATATACGCAGCAACAACGAAGAGAACAATTGATGGACGATACGTTGTGAAACTTCCTTTCCGCAACGACAATCCTCAATGTATAGGAGGCAAAAGCAGAGACATCGCTGTGAAAAGACTAATGTCATTAGAAAAGAGATTCAGTAAAGATGAAAATTTAAAGGAAAGATATAAAAGTGTAATTAATGAATATCTTAGTTTAGATCACATGAGGCTTGTAAAGGAAGAAGTTCATGATAGACATAAAGGTGTGTATTTACCACATCATGCGGTTATTAGAGAAGATAAAACTACGTCTAAAGTACGAGTGGTGTTTGATGGTTCATGTAAAAATGAAAATGGTATATCGCTTAACGATGAACTAATGATAGGACCTACTTTACAACAAGATTTGCGTAGTATAATAATGCGCTGGAGAATATACCCTATTGGAATAGTTGCAGATATTATTAAAATGTATCGCCAAATAAGAATTGCAGAAGAGGATGCTGTGTTTCAGAGGATTGTTTGGAGAGATAGTCAATCTAAACCGATTAAGGATTATGAATTACTGACTGTTACTTTTGGCACATCATCTGCTCCTTACTTAGCGGTAAAAACTCTACATCAAATAGCAATAGATGAAGGTCATAAATACCAAAAGGCATCTAGTCTTGTTCCTATATCCTTTTATATGGATGACTTAATGACAGGGTGTTTCAGCGTAGAGGAAGGAGTAGAAATATATAATCAAATGAGAGATCTACTTAAAATGGGTAAATTTGAGTTACAAAAATGGAATAGTAACGATAAAGAGCTGTTGAGTATAATTTATAAATGTGAAAGAGAGAGAAATAAAGATAAAATTATAGAAGAAAAAGAAAATAGGGAGAGCGGAGAAAATGTTAAGGAGAAAGAAGAGAAAGACTTAATGGATAATACTAAAATATTAGGACTTACTTGGTCTCGAAGAGAAGATGTCTTTAAATATTCGGTACAGTTAAAACAGGATCCAGGGCCTGAAACTAAGAGAACTGTCATATCAGAAATAGCACGGTTATATGATCCTCTCGGTTGGATAGCTCCTAGTATAGTGTTAGCTAAGATATTCATACAGAAACTGTGGTTATCTGGTATTGGATGGGATGAGGAATTACCAACACATCTAAAAGATGAGTGGAATATTTACCGTAATGAATTAATCCAACTAACCAATTTAAGCATTCCGAGGTGGCTTGGAATAGAATCGGCAGATGCTTACGTGGAACTTCATGGTTTTAGCGATGCATCAAAGACAGCATATGCTGCTTGTATTTACTTAAGAACAATCAATAAAGAAGGTCAAATTAATCTATCTTTAATAGTAGCAAAGACAAAGGTTGCACCAATCAAACAAATTAGCATACCGAGACTAGAATTATGTGGTGCTTTACTCCTTTCTCGGATGCTAGTTGAAGTGATGGAGACGATGCAAGTTCCGAAGAGCCGAGTGCACGCTTGGACTGATTCAATGGTTGTGTTAGATTGGCTTAATAGCCATCCAAGTAGATGGAAAACCTTTGTCGCCAATCGGGTGTCAGAAATTTTAACTTGTCTAGATGCGGATCAGTGGGCTCATATACCTTCCAAAGAAAATCCAGCAGATTGCGCATCACGAGGAGTTCAACCAAAATTACTTGCTGAGAATAAACTTTGGTTAAAAGGACCAGAATTTCTGAATCAATCAAATATCACATATAAAAGACCAAATAATCTTAACACACATTTGGAAGAAGTGATCAAGTGTCACGTGACGTTAGCTGCAGAAGAACCTTTATACTCAAAATATTCATCACTTAGAAAGTTACTAAGAGTTGTAGCATATTGTAGACGCTTCATACATTGGAAAAAGAGATCAAACTTTACAAATTACTTAAAGGGCATAGAACTAAATGAAGCTTTAAAGTGTTGTATCAGATATTGTCAGAAAAGAGAGTTCCAAAAAGAATATGCTCAATTAAAGAAAGGTTCATGTATAACTGCTAAAGGAAGTAAATTAAAATCATTATGTCCCTTTATTGATGATGAAGATATAATGCGAGTGGGTGGGAGATTACATGCGTCATCTCTTCCAACTCAAACAAAACATGCAATAATCTTATCACCTAACGCACATCTTACATACTTAATAGTAGCCGATGCTCATGAACGGACCCTACATGGGGGGCCTCAACTCATGCTTAATTGTCTAAGATCTAAATATTGGATTATCAATGTTAAAAATGTTGTCAAGAAACACGTAAGAAAATGTATTATATGTACTAGATATAACGCCAGAACACAAAATCAATTAATGGGTGCGCTTCCGTCAGTACGATGTACTCCTTCTAGACCGTTTTCCAACAGTGGGGTAGATTACGCGGGTCCAATAAATTTAAGAACAACAAAAGGCAGAGGTCATCGTGCATATAAAGGATATATTTGTATCTTTATTTGTATGGCAACTCGCGCCATACATCTTGAAATTGCAAGTGACATGAGTACCCAGTCATTTATTGCTGCATTCCGACGTTTTGTTTCAAGACGTGGACACTGCGCTCATTTATGGAGCGACAACGGCTCCAATTTCGTTGGTGCCGCACGAGAATTATCGGAATTGTCTAAGATACAATCAAGTATCGCCGAGTATTTGGAAGCTAATAACACTGAGTGGCACTTTATACCGCCGCATGCTCCTAATTTTGGAGGATTATGGGAGGCGGCAGTGAAATCCACAAAATTTCACCTTAAGCGCGTTTTAGGTGAGTCCACCCTGACATACGAAGAAATGAGTACATTGCTTTGTCAAGTCGAAGCTTGTCTCAATTCTCGACCTATGACAATAATTAACACTGATAATTCTGACGAACCCTTACCATTGACACCAGGACATTTTATAGTGGGTGAACCATTGATCGCTGCACCGGAGGTTAATTACGAAAATTCTCACATTAGTCCTTTGCATAGATGGCAACTTGTGCAAAAGATGTTACAAAACTTTTGGCGGCGTTGGTCCCAAGAATATTTAGCTACTCTTTTGCAGAGATATAAATGGTCTCACCAAGTACCAGAGCCGGAAGTAGGAGATGTCGTTTTAATCAAAGAAAATGATTTGCCACCAAGTCGTTGGTTACTGGGTCGAGTTCTTGAAAAACATCCTGGTCAAGACAATATAACTAGAGTTGTTACTTTACGCGTTAATGGATCATTACTAAAACGTCCTACTTCCAAATTATGTATTTTACCAATTAATAAAAATGATTTGTAAATAGATATAAGTTCATATATTATTAGAAATTAATTAGTAAATAAAAAGAAGAATTTGTTTTTCTTTTATGTTTATAACTTTATGTCATTGGTTATTCTAATTTTTTAAGTTATAATTAGGTTTTTTATTTGTTATTCTACTTCTAAAACTGTAACTAGCTATTAAGTTCTTTCCTGTTATTGTTATTTAGCATTGTTTTTCTAAAGGACGATTTCTGAAATATCGTCCTTGGGGGGCGGTATGTTCACGTTATAACTTATCATTATAGTGTGTCAACCTCTTTTCTAGACTCCTTAAAAAGAATGTATTAAAAAGGTGTAGGGTCGTTACCATGGCAATCAACTTGTTATTAAAAAATATGTCTTCTTGATAAATATAGTTCCAGTACAAGTTCTTTTGGTTTTTTATTTAAAGTACAAATAACAGTTCATCAAGCTATCGAAACAAACAAGGCGGTCGCACCCCTGAGCCCCAGCTATATTCACTGCTGGGATTAAGAGGCTTGTGATGGTGATCATTGTTGTATTAATTTATTTAATTTACAAAATCATGTGTCTGAAGAGTCAGTAACTATTACGAGTATTTTAAAATTAATATTACGACTCTATCTACATCACTGAAGATCATTTTTTTTTCTATTACAGCCGCAAAAAATAATAGCTATTAGGAGAGAAGACCAATCAGTATGGGAGAGACGAGCGCCTTTTTCCCCTTCAAACGTAAACAAATTGGTGAGACAGGGCGTAAAAGTTATCGTGCAACCATCCAATCGACGTGCTTATCCGATGCAAGTAAGAAATAAAAGAAAAAAGTTTTTAATCTATTTAATTGTTCCTCTTAGTAGACTTTTTTAGAAACCTAAGTTCATTGTAGACAAATGTTCAACCAATCGGGCAATTTTCAGAATCAACACAACGCAACATAACAGCCGAATTTTCTCTCAAGAGAAATTATCATGGCCAAAAATATTGCTGTTTTTTCTCAAAATGTCCCTCCTATTAGGTACTTACTAGATGACCCGGTGTACTTCGTATCACCTGTCACCGTTTAAACCTCCCTGAGTTGTACACAAGTACATCCAATATCAGTTAAATCGGCCCAGCCGATCTAGATTTTTAGCGAGAAAAAACGAACAGCTATTGACTGAAAGTCAATCTTTCAGTTTCAATCAAATTGACTGAAAGTCAAAATTATCAGATATCTTAAGATATATATTTGTCTTCGTTATATATCCTACGTCAAAAGTTAATAAAGGTTTAAATCATTTGAAGCTGTAATCCTGTTACACCCCTTTCTGTTCATCGCTGGATGTTTACAAAATGCCAAATATTAAAGTTATTTGATTTTAGTCTTACATAAACTCTGGAGCTATAGTCCAAGAAGACATAAGTGAGGCAAGTGTAATCTTCGGTGTGAAACAGACGCCCGTAGACCTACTTATACCGAACAAGACCTACTGTTTTTTTTCGCACACTATCAAGGCACAGGAAGCAAACATGCCAATGCTAGACGCAATTTTAGCAAAGGTAAAGACATTTTATTATTTTTCAATACAAAAATGCTCAATACTTCTAAAATAATTATAGTAGTATAAAGGAATAGTTATTTAAGATACGAGTGTGGAAAGTGAGGTTTTACGAATAAGGGCCAAATTAAAAACCTGAGCGTAGCGAGGTTTTTCATTGGCACGAATTCGAAAAACCTTTTACACTCAAGTTTCTTACAACATTTTTCAATGCTTTTTGCGAGGAAATAAAACAAATATATAGGTCAATAAAACTAAGTATGTATTAAAGGTAAAAATTATTTGTTAAAATTAAACCTGATATTTGAACATGTTTTCGTGTCATACATTTTTATTTGAAAATATTCGTCCTAGGCTCCTTGAAATACTATTGCCTCTAAAGTTTGACATATTTTCATCAATTTTTTTTAAATTTCTTTGGTGCTCAGCCAAAAATAATTTAAAAAATACTTTTAAGCACGTGTGCAGTAAAGGATTTCAGTACGTTTTTATTTAACACGTGTTCAAAACTCACTTTCGGTGTTTACAATGGATTAAAAAAATAGCGCTTTATGAGCAACTGCATTGAAAAAGAAGTTTTTATCATTAAAGAATACGACAGGAATTATGTCTAAACTTGTTTGTCTGTCCGTCAAGTAGATCAATGGAATACTTAACACGTATTTTTTTATTTTTTGCATAATCAATAAATAACGGTGATAACTTGAGTTGCATTGTCACATGACGTCACGTTTTTGTACTTATTATTTAGACTTATTATAAAACAGATAGAAAATCACAAAGTGCTTATGCACAATGTGACAGGAGAAGTAACTTCGAAGAATGAAAAATAATAAAGAGACTATTATTTATTCTTCACATTTGGTGCGAAGATGTTACAGTTTTAAGGAGAACCTATAATTGAAATAGTCCTAGCTACGTGTTCAGCGCCATTTCTTTTTTATCTCTATTTTGATATTTCAGAACATTCGTTTGCTCGATTATGAAAAGTTGATGGATAAAGATGGCAACAGAGTGGTGGCTTTTGGTAAATATGCAGGTGTAGCTGGCATGATAAATATTCTACATGGCCTAGGGCTGCGTCTTCTAGCACTTGGACATCACACGCCATTCATGGTAACGTATAATTTTAATTGAGCTTTTGTGATGATGAAATAAATCACAACAGATATATAACAATGTAAAATGTACCTTAACAGAGTTTCATTGTGTTTCAACATTGTTATATGACTGATGAAATGAAACAGACGAAAAGAGAAAACCACTTATTTTCTGCTGCTTCACCAGCAAAGTGATTTTTCTTCTTATTTTCAAAATAAGACCAATTTCAACAATAATTGTAATAATAGTTTTATATTATTAAATTTATACATTTTCAAGTAATGCATGCGTATTGACTACGCATGAGGCATGACTTGTCAAAGTATAGAAAAGGTAAAACAAAAATTATAAATGACATTTCTATCAAAAACACCTCACGAGATTTTGTTTTACATAATGAATACGATATTTAAGTAAATTACAATTGTTTCTTTATTAAGATAAATTATAATGGTATAAAACGCAAATCAGAGAATTTGGTAGGTAAAAAAAGATTATTTTTTTAACAGCACATTGGACCCGCGCACAACTACAGGAATTCGAGTATGGCTCGACAGGCCATTCGTGACGCTGGCTATGAAGTAGCTCTAGGTATGATGCCTAAATCACTCGGACCTCTGACTTTCGTTTTCACCGGATCAGGAAATGTGTCACAGGTAAAAAAGAAATATAATATAATGATCCTCAGACAAGATGTTCTTTTACGTTTCAACATTTGGAAAGTTCCTTCTCCATTTCAAAATAAACATTTTTTTTTAAGTTTAAGTACCAAAAAAATTATTATTACTTATTTCTGTGATATGTATTGCATCTTCTAATTTTTAGGGAAGTCAAGAAATATTCCAGGAATTACCGTATGAATATGTTCCACCCGAAATGTTAAGGAAGGTAGCTGAACATGGAAGTAAGTAAAACTTTACTGATAAAACAAACCTTATCAATAAATCTAAAAAATACTTTTTCTCAACTTAGTATTTTTGAAATCTATTACCCATATAGAATAACTTTGTTGTCCGTCCGCCCATCCGTTTGTCATGTTCCTTTTTCTCAGAAACGCGTGATATCAAGCTGAAAATTACATCAAATATTTAGGTATGCTGTCCCTTAGAGCTGTGAAAACAACAAACTTCCAAGTCAATGCAATGAAAACATACAGCCGTTTATGCCACATATTTTCGAAACTCGCAAGGGAGTCAAAACCTGCCCTGCGATTCTGTAAAACTTCAAACCCGATTTCGAATCAACTCAGGTGTCCGAATTCACTTCAAAAAGCGGCATCCGCTCAAACTTTAATTGGTAATAATGTTTCGTGAAATAAGTTAAGTGAGTTTCGAAATGATATAGGATTAAAATATCTAAGACACGTTCAATCAGTCAATTTTGTTTAGTATTTTTATACAAAAAATGGAATCAATAGGATTTCTTTACTAAATGACTAGAATTCGGACACATGAGTGAATTCGAATTCGGGTCTGGATTGTTACAGAATCGCAGGGCTGCCCTGCGATTCTGTAAAACTCCAAACCCGAATTCGAATTCTCTCAGGTGTCCGAATTGACTTCAAAAAGAGGCATACGCTCAACCTTGAATTGGTAATAACGTTTCGTAGCATAAGTGAAGTGAGTTTCGAAATGATATAGGAATAGAATATCTGAGACACGTGTATTCAATCAATTTTGTTTTGTATTTTTATACAAAAAAAATGGAATCAATAGAATTTTTACACTAAATGACGTGAATTCGGACACATGAGTGAATTCGAATTCGGGTCTGGATTTTTACAGAATCGCAGGGCTGCATGGTATTTCCCGTGAACTCAGAATCTTAAAATTTGATACGAAGCAAAGTCTTATAGCACAGATAAAGGAAAAACTGGGAAACCTTTAAATTTTGAATTAAATCATGTACCGAGTGAACCGATTGTCGAGATGAGTGAACTTTTACTTATATACCTACGGCTTTGTACGTAACCCTCGGTGCGCGAGTGCGACTTGCCCTTAACCAGTTTTTTATTATGTTAATGATAAATGTTATGTTAATACAGGTCCAAATAAGATATATGGCTGCGAAGTTCGTCGCAGGCATCATTTGGAGAGGAAAAACGGTGGCGGGTATGACCACGAAGAGTATGAAGAGCATCCTGAGCGATATATCTCAACTTTTGCACAAAGGGTATGAAATATTACATATACTAGCTGACGCACTGACGCGTTGCTGAGATTCAGTAATTATAACAGATTAAATAAATAGACATTGCCAGATGGCAAAAATTCATGGTTCGAATCCCATCTCAGAGTGGGAAAAGGACAAAGTAGAATTTCTAAGCTTTTCTTTTCAAGGACAAAGTGGAATTTTTAAAATATTTTCCAGTATAGCATTGTGAATACGAAATTGTTCAAATATAATAATATCGATAAATAGATAGAAATACATTTTTATTCATCATATTGATAATGATTGAGATAAAAAAGTTTCTGTTGTCTAAATTTGATTAAAAACGGCTTACTAATATCCGAGTTTATCAATGAAATACACAATGACACGTAATTTTTATATGTATATAAAGAAAGTATGAAACTATTAAGACATTAAAAAATCAATTTATAAGAACATCGAAGTAGTAATAAAATTCACTGCAAGTGTGAAACGTTAAAAAAAGGTTACATTTTTTTACTTATAAATTAATTTTGAAGTCTAAAATAAATAAAATGCATTGTTTTTCGTTTGTTTTTGTCATGGAATTCCGTAGATGTTCTAAATGACAAGGAATATACTTTATTTTTCAATACAACACAACATTCCACTCGTTCTGTTGCGTAGAATTGTCTCTGTGGTTGTTTGTAGCTCCTCTGGCGTCGTCTTAACTAGTAAAATAAAGTAAATTTTAATGAAATAGACCACCTGAGGATACAATGTTGAATAGTAAGATTGTTACTTAGACGAGTTGAATGGTGTATAGCAAAAAATTGTTGTCATTTTAAACACTTACAAAAATAAAACAGCTTAAACCGTTTCTAATTAGACACAAATGGTATTTAATTAGAAACAATGTAAATAAGTATTATTTTCCGAAACATCCTAATTCGATTCCCGAATTAAAAACTAGTTTTCTTCGTTGATAATGTATAAAGGATCAAATTTGATAGATTACCACCTATCATATTTGATGGGGTACATGTGCCTTTCGCTGATACGGTAAAGAATCTGGGTATCATCTTTGACAACACATTGTCCTGGCGTCCACAAGTAGCAGAGATTAGCCGGAAGATGTTTGCTGCCTCGGGGTCATTCAGGCGGAAGCGCAATTTTTTACCCATTTCCACCAAAATTACACTTACGCATTCACTTCTCTTGTCCCTTCTTGATTATGCAGATGCATGATACCCTGATTTTATACTTGATCTTCTCAATAAGCTTGAACGTCTTCAAAACATTTCCATATGGTTTATATTTGGTTTTCGCAAATATGATCATGTTTCTGAATTCCGTAGGCAACTTCAGTGGCTCCCCATTCGTCGTCGTAGGGATATGCTCTCACTTCTCTACTCTATACTGTTCAATCCCATGATGCCACCATATTTCAAATCACGCTTTAAATTTCTCTCATCGACGCATGATCTCTCTCTTTGCTCTTCTAATAACTTTCGATTGTTCATTCCTCCCAGTCTCACTAAATTCTATAGTCAATCTTTTACAGTACACGCTATAAAACTCTCTACCTGAATCTATCAGACGAGCGAAATCGTTAAACTCCTTCAAATATCAATTAAAACCCCATTTCCTCTCATACGTTTAGCCTGCTCTTTTATTTTCCTTTTACACTTCTCGCTTTCTGGTTGTCACTTGTGTTTTGAGCATTTTGTTTGTCTTTAGGTACTTTTTTTTGTGATACTTTGCTGTTGCAACCGTAAATTGTTATTTGTTATATGCACAATTTGCCATCTAATGTCTGTTTTTTCCCATCCAATGCAAGGTTGCCTGGAAGAAATCGCTGGCTAGCGATAAGGCCGCCTTTTGTACGTTTTTCTGTAAAGAATTATGCTTGTCTATGTAATTTTAATATGGTTTGTGCAATAAAGAGCATTTATTATTATTATTAAATGCAGTTTTGAAGGCATGGATCCTTAGATTTTCGACCTTTGTATTCTTATAGTTTTGGAATGTGGAACCATTCTAAATTGCTGCACCTGTATATATATTGAAAGAGGAGTATACATGATAATAGTGAGATGGATTTCCAAATTATAGGTACCCATAAAAATGTAAATATCATAAGGAGTCATGTTGAGATATAGATAAATCATCAAATCTGAATAGGTTCCGAAACTTTTAGCCGATTTTAAATCTTCTTTCACCTTGAGGAAGCTACAAGATACGCGGGGACATAGGCTATAGTTAACGCGGGCAAAGTCACGGGAGAATAGCTATTTAAACATTTCATTGTCTTGTCGCCATTATCTTAATTACTATAGAACATTATAATATTTTTTATGATGATCAAGTATACTATCATACTATTTCTTAAATATCCAATTGATAAAATAAGTAAAACCGATTGATAAAATAATTATACGATAAAAAAGTTATCAACACATCAGAGAATTTCGTAGTGAAAACTATACAAAAATATTGATAAAAAGATAAAATAAATTACTAGTTCAAATCAAATTAAATCAAAAACATTTATTCAGTCTAGGCTGATACAAACACTAAAGAAAGTCGAAACTGTATTCCATCAGTTCGAAAATCTACGGCGGGAGACCTTGTTGTGTCATGTACCGAGGAGAATCGGCAAGATACATACAAAGACAGGAGATAGATGCTCATCTATATTGTAGGTACATTACGTAAACAGAATAAATTTTTATTCCTATCTATGATTTCGTTATTTCTTTTATTTTATTTATTAGGGGTCGACTAGGCGCATTATATAATCTTCATCCGTACCTCTCCATCAGTCATCAGCTTAACATTCACTTCTTTCTTATACAACACATGTCAATCTATCAATCTTTTCTTCGGTTTCCTCTCCTTACATTTCTTTCCATATTCATGTCATAACCTTTTTTGATAAATTCAAATCATGTCTTTTCATTACATGTCGTCAATACTAAAACTACCTCTTACTACTCATTTTGTTCTGTTACTGGCGCTACTTCTTTCTTCTTTTAATCGACTTCCAAATCCAAAAGGAGCGGTTTTATATTCGAAGTATGTATTTTTTTATATTCACCGATATTCCCGCTAATTGTTGACCGATTTTCAAAACTATTTTTTATTCGGCAGCTTAAAGCCCGAGGTGGTCTGATTTAAATTTTAACAAAATCGAATGAGTAGTTTTCCTTTTATACCAAAACAAAATACTTATTATATTTGATCAATTTTGCGTTCACAATGCTATACTGAAAAAAATATTCTTAATGAAAAATGTTTAAAAAATTTACTTTGTCCCTGGTCCCATCTCAGAGTACCAGGAACAAATGGTTTTTAACAGCATTTTTCATTAAGAATAAAACAAAATACGTTTTTCACCATATATCACCTAATTTAATTCACCGCTTAAATAATAAAAGAACGTATATTTTGAATTCATTCAAAATCCGAAAGGAGGATTTTTTATGTTTATATTTTTTATGAAAGTAGTTAATCTCAATCGATTTCTTCTTGAATTGTGAACGAATTCCTATAAAACTAGTTGTTTCTCTGCGACTTCGTCTCTGCGGTTTAGTCTATATCTAATGCGTATGCTAAGCACATTTTAGCCACATGCAGTGGACTTTCATCTATCCGCTTTATTGCCCAGCACTCCTCTCCATACAAGACGACGGTCTTATAAGGGTTTCAAAAATTTCCACTTTCGATTTAAGAAACTTGTCTTTATTCCATCCACCCACAACATTGATTCTTATTACAACCTACTAATTACCTTACCAACCTTGAAACTATAAATAGATGACATTTTATTATACTCCTATTTAGAGAAATACCTCCCATCTCCATTATTATTTGGTTTATAAGTTTGACCATCATCATATCAAGAATTAGTGCCAGTCAACAGGATTGATTTCTAACGTCTACGAAGCTATTTTAAATTATTCTTGCCTGAGATAAGGGTGATCGTTAGATATATTTTAAAAACGAGCAATTATTTATCATTTGTTTGCTTAAATATTAATTTTATTATCAGTTATTTGTGAAGATACTTATCTTATAGTAATTTAATTTGCGCCGCCATGCCACGTTTTGACATAGGCAATATAACTAAATGAATTGATTTATGATAACACTTCACTATTAATGGTAGATTTCACGTCATCAATTTTGTACACAAATGACTGAAATTTATCATTATGTTAGTACATTTTATTATTTCATGGAGTCAAGTTAATGTAGTCGTTGATCATAACATTTTCGCATGTGTAATCCTAATTACGAGGGTCAAACTGAAAGTTCTTAGAAAATCAAAAACTGATTACATTAGCCAGTTATTAGTTTTATTATATCTTTTCAAAATATTGTCCATTCACGTCAATACACCGCTGCATGCGATGGAACCACTGGGAAAAGCACTTTGCCCACTCGTCCTTAGGGGTCTCTTCAATGGCATCGCGATACGCAGCCACCGCTTCTTCAGCATTCATAAACCGCTTTCCTTTAAGTTTTTCTTTAATTTTTGGAAATAAATAAAAATCACAAGGCGCGAGGTCGGGGCTATACGGCGGCTGACCCAGTAATTCAACGTTTGATGTCGCCAAATAGTCGATCGTTCGCTTGGCGGTGTGCGACGAGGCGTTGTCGTGGTGAAGGAGGATCCTACTGCGAGGTCGTTTCTCTCGAACTTTTTCCAAGACAAGTGGCAAACAATTGGTAGTGTACCATTCTGCAGAAACTGTTTTTTGATCCTCTAACACAATTGTTGCAAAATGACCTATCCTTCCAAAGAACGAGGCCACCATTTTTTTTCCCGCACTTCGATCTCTCTTCACTTTAGTTGGCAACTCCTCGAAAGGAAACACCCACTGAGCAGATTGTCTTTTGGTTTTAGGATCATAACAGTAAATCCAGCTTTCGTCACCTGTTAGTATGTCGAACACAGCATTTGAGTCACCTCCGTTAAATCTTTCAATCATTTTACGACACCAATCCACACGATGGAGTTTTTGAGCCTCAGTCAAATTATGAGGTATCCACCGGGCGCAAAGCTTCCTGACCGCTAAATGTTCGTGGAGGATTTTGTGCACTTGACTCATACCGATGCCTAAGCTTGTCCGAATCTGTTGATAGGTCACTCTTTTGTCAGTCTCTATCATACGCCGCACAACACAGATGTTATCTTCAGTCGTCGCCGTAGAAGGCCGTCCCTCACGTAAATCATCAGTGAGATTAGTGCGACCACGTTTAAACTCATTAAACCAGTTGTAAACAGTCGCACGAGATGGGGCTTCATCGTGAAAGGCCAATCGTAGTCTATCATAACTTTCTTGTTGACTTAAATGACATCGAAAGTCATAAAAAATCATTGCACGAAAATTTTCTCGTGTTAAATTCATGATGACGTGACACAGACAATTTTCAATTTGCCGCCAAATCGTAAAACAAATGACAAATGAATGAAATATATACTCAGTAATATTGGCAAAGAGTTATATTTTCAAATTTTAGAATTATTTTTTTATTATATTGTTTATAAGTGGCCAGTTCTAAGAACTTTCAGTTTGACCCTCGTATTTAAAATGTTTTCTTTTCGATATTCAATTATTAACGTACGGGAGCAGCTAATTAAGCTGATTCCAAATGTCTTCATTATTTATGCTCGAGGTGGCAAGATTTTGTCGTTATGTCATCATATCGCGTAGTGGTTCAACGACGAATTGCAATAACAACGCCGTATCAAAAGAACGACGTCAAATAGCTCATAATGTGTCGCACTGAAATGTGATATGATGACAATATTATTGTTCGTCCGAGGACAATACCCTATATCACTAAGTCAAGTAATCCGTAATTTCCTAAATAATAATAATAATAATTTGGAGAAATATCTCAACTAGTGTCTTTTAATCTTTTAATCAACATTTTTAATTAACACGACAAATTTTGGATTCTTGTATGTATAATTTTCATGTATGATTCTTGTATGTAGTATATGTTTGTATAAATTTCACCTGTCGTCTTTTTAAATAACGCAATATATGATGACGATTTCAATCGTCATTTCTTCACCCAGTTCTTTGTACGAACTACGTATCGACATTCATTGTCTTAACCTTTTTATCACAGAAACAAAGATAATTTTCGCACAATTAATTTTTTTTTAATTATTATTGTAGATTGCGCCTTACACAACAGTGTTAGTAAATTGTATCTACTGGGCAGTAGACAGCCCTAAATTACTGACGATTCCTGATGCAAAGCATCTGCTGCTACCCTCACATACTCCATGGCTGCCTAAAAGTGTTGGTGCGCCAGCACTTCCTCATAGGTGAGCTTTTATATCTATTCTTCTTTCATCGTTCTTTATATGATTTTTTTTTAAATGGATAGCTCAACAAACGCGGCTTTATTTCATTCTGAAAATGCAAAATGTAAAGTATAATAATGTTTTTTTTTTTAATTCTTCAGGATGCTGGCCATCTGCGACATATCGGCTGACCCGGGTGGTTCTATAGAATTTATGAATGAATGTACTACCATAGATACACCATTTTGTCTTTACGATGCCGATAGAAATAAAGATACAAAGAGGTAAAACTACAAGACAATTTCTTCTAAATACCACTACAATATTCTATGAGAATATAATAAACAATACCCAAAAGAAAATATGCAAATTAGAAACTGATAAGAGTAAAGTTAATAAAGCTGCTACTTTAGCTACGTCAGATAAAATCTCTAAATTTAATCTAATAATATGCAACAATAACATTGTTCGATACTCCACAGCTTTAAAGGCCCAGGCGTACTGGTGTGCTCCATAGATAATATGCCTACACAATTACCGAGAGAATCTACCGACTTCTTCGGCGATCTCTTGTTTCCCTATGCGGAAGACATCATGAAATCGGACGCAACTAAACCTCTGGATGATCATGACTTCTCGTCTGTTGTCAAGGGGGTAAGATAATTTGATTATTTTTATTTACGCACACTTTTTTCAATAGCTCGCCTCGGACAGTAGTGAAATTATTTTAATTAAATCAACGTCCAACAATATGTGCTGTCACAGCATTAGAGGTTCATTTAATAAAACCTATTTCAAAAGTTAATAAAGCCTGTTGATGCTAAGGTCAATACTGTATTTTAAACAGAATACTAAAGTAGGTGGGTTCACCTGTGGTAAGTCAGGGAATCATATGATAGCTACAATAAATCACATCACTTACCGTTTTATTATAAAACTAGGACTAAATTTAGTATATAGCAGTTTTAAATCATATCCAAATAAAATAAGTCAATATGCCTTAATTTTATGTTTTCTTTTTTGTCATTGTAAGCCAGTGCTTTAACCGATTAAGTACTGACTTTAGTCCCCGTTTTATAATAAAACAAACAAATTTATAGCTAATTTAATAATTGAGCATTAAACAACGTTGAATAGTTGTAATAGACTTATAAATACTATCATTCACTATGAAAGTTTATTATAATAAATTACAGATACGAAATAATATATTTAATGTAAACATATCTCATAAATAAATAATGTGAGAAAGCTATTTTCATTAATTTAAAGATTGACACTCACATATTAGTTTCGGGGCCTGCTTCCTTTTAATGAATCTAAACGTTAAAAATTAGAACGTAAAAACACACAAATTGACTTGTTAATTTTTTTTTATTTGTGTCAGCATTTAATTATCTAAATGAGATTACATAATGTGTTATCTGTTGAGTTCCTTGATGCTAATAAAGATAGCCTCAGCTTTATCAGTCAGCTGATAAAGAGCTGTGCGTGTCATAAACATTTATCAGTACTTTGTCGTGTATATCCATAAACAACAAACAAATAACGACCTCGAAGTTATAATTAATTAGCTTTAAAATTAACCTTGGACATTTTCGCATAAATATTTAACTGTTTAATGAGTAAATAAAGGACATTATGGAAAAATCTGCGATGGAAGAAACTGTATGGAGGGCGTTTATATATTTTTTATAAAATAAATCAAATTGTTGATGTTGTTTTAAAATACGTTTATTTTTAATTTTCAGGCTATTATAACAAGCAATGGAAAGTTAACTCCCGACTTCGAATATATTAATGAACTTCGAAATTCAAATACGTAAGTTTTTTAATTATTAATTAAATATTCACTTATGCGGCTTTGCAGTTATTGTTAACATTCTTAACAAAAAGAATCTAACAATAATTACATAAACAATGTCCGATATACTTATTTGAAATTTTTCATAGACATGTAAGACAGATGACAATGCAATATTATGGTGTCAGTAAGCTGATATGATGATGAAGTGATCATAGGAACTCAGTGATGAAATGATGCAACTGCATCATGCTTGTGCTCGTTACATCTATCTTTATAAGGACTTTGTTGCTAGATTCCTTCCAGACCAACTTTGGCAACTCTTACCGGCTCGTAGGCTTGCTTATCGTCGGGTAGTAAAACTCCGTAGAAGGTGGAAGGATGGGATGTTTTATTTACAAATCTTACATCTACTTATACTAAAACGGAATATAAAATTAATCAATTAAAATTCCTTAAAATTATAAATACAAACTTAACCAATGAGAAATGCACATTTTAAACCAATAACAAGGAAGCTACAATATTTACAATGGAAGGGAAAAGTGCTGATGATGGAGCTGGATAGTTGTCATAAGAATTTAGCAATGAAATAATGTAATTGCATCGTGTTTGGGCTCTTTAGCTCTTACTTTAAAAGATCAACAGCATAATAAACTTTTAATGCAGATGCTATGTTAGGAATTTAAAGAATGAGACAAAACTAAAAAGTGAAAAATAAAAATATAATAAGTAAAGTTTTTTAAAACCAACCTTTTATTTATACGCACTTAAATGTAAATAATATTTTTATGCAAGATGTCATAACGTTAATGGAAAAAAATAATATAATAATGCTATATTTAAAAAAATCACATTGGTTTTTATACTCAATTTTACAATTGAGTAGCTTCTGTGCCTGAATAAGATTTATGTTCTAAACCTGAAAGTACATAAAATATTTTTTTTTCTGAATGAAATCGGAAAAGAGAAAAACATATTTTTTTTTACGAGCTACAAGCTTTTTTAGTCAATATATGTTAGAGAAAATTTTTATTATAACTATTTTGTCTTGCATAAAATTATTATTTACGTTTAATTATAAAAGCTGTTTTTTATTTATATTTTTATATAATAGCGTCATTAGTTTCTATACGTATTTTTATTACGCCATTGAATTTTTCAGAAAGAACAAAAGCATTATTCCTTTTATCTCGAAACAAAATCCATAGATTTCTATTTTCTTGAAGTTAGTAACACAGAGCTTAATACTTTTTGGAATTTCTCAGACGGTCCCGACACAAAGTTGAGGGTAACGAGCAGCAAGTGCCCGTTGTGATTCTGGGCAGTGGATTGGTCTCCGCACCAGTCGTCGAGTATTTGGCCCGGGACAAAAACATCGCCGTAACTATAGGTATTTATAGTCAGCTAATTATCAGAGTAGCTCGGTAGCGTAGTGGATAAGCACCGCGGCCCGCAATCGTTGTCGTTAAGCAACTTTCGCAAGGGTCGGTCACGGGATGGGTGACCAAAAAATTCGTCCCGGCTGCATTTGCAGTCGTTAATATCCTCCAATCCGCATTGGGCCAGCGTGGAGGGTCATGGTCCATCCGCCTTAACCGTCCATAAGGAAGGCCTGAGCCCCTGCATAGTGGGGACGTAAAAGGGCTGATGATGATGATGATGATAATCAGCTAATTATGTCCTAACTGGTGGAGCACAGGATATTCTTTGGATGGTATCGAATGGAATAGAGGGAACAGAGCATAACTCACCTCACGCAGACCCATCGCGAATAGGTAGATGTTAACAACTGTAGATGTGATAGGGACCAAGGCTTAACATGCCTTCTGAAGCAAGGGGGAACTCGAGATGACTAATTTTTGCGATCGCAAGTCGAACCCGCCAGCCACAATAGGAAATAAAATGGTTTTATATTTATTGTTCAAAATTGTCAGATTTATTTTGTAAGCTTTATATTTTTTAGCTTATAGCTAATATATAATAATGTCGAATTAAAAATCAAGATAAAGATTTTGCAATAAGGCAGTTGTGAAAAAGTAGTATTAACAGATATAATAATTCTACCTAGTATAATTATTTGAATATAATATGAGATTTTACCATTATACCTAACGGTTTTTTTCGTAGTAAAACTGTTTTCGTAGCACACAATTCTATTCGTAGAAGTTCGTAGCAATAGTAAACTACGATTACGCGTAATAAATTTTATATAGGATAGTTTCGTTTTGACTTTGTTATTATTTATTTTATTCTGCTGCTGTAAATTTTTAAAATATTCGGAGCCAGTTTTTTATTCGCCAGATACATTATAAATATCTATGCAAATAAATGAAAATTGAAGGAGTGTCTGTTTGTATTTTTAAATTAAATGCATATGTAATCTGTATACACGGCAAGATAATATTTTTTGCTTGTCTGTCTGTTTCCGGTTTATTTCTGAAACGGCTGGACAGATTTTGATGGGACTTTGACTGGGAGATAGCTCATGTAATAAGTAGTAACTCAGGATTCATTCCACGCGGGCGAAGTCGCGGGCATAACTATTCCTGAATAATTTAGAACGTCCTACGTTATGTCATTCTACACCATGGAATACACAAGTAAAAATAATTCCAACTTTTCGTGAAGAGTATATACTTGTTCTAGTCCTAAAGATGGGTCTCATAACATTATAATAGGATTTTAAGATGCAGACAGACAAAATACATGGTCAAGTTATAAGCCCTGACCAAGAAGCTAGCTTGCCCAACCGGCCACCCCATAAAGAATCTGGCGTGAAAACATATAAATCGTCCGGCCTCAAAGTTTGCAAATATTTGGCCTTACTCTAAAAACAAAACCTAGTTTAAAACGTACTGTTTATAAAGAAATTAATTCCATACAATGTTAACTTTGACTTCGATCATTTGCCGAAATATGACCGATATTTTCATGGACTTCCAACATATGCTTCGTGTAGGGCTCCACGAAGTACACTTGGAGATAGATAATATAGAATAAGACGCTATAAAGCTAAGTTACATTTTTTTGCAGCATCACAAGTTAAGGAAGAGGCAGACGCTTTAGCAGAACGGTACGGTGTCCGATCCGAGTACCTGCAGGCCAACGACGAGAATGCGTTACGTTCGGTAGCTTCCAATGCCCGCCTTGTGGTATCCCTGCTGCCGTACGACTTACACGGTGCCGTTGCCAAAGCGTGTATCAGCTCCGGCGCACATATGGTCACCGCGTCATATGTTCGCCCCGAAGTCCAAGAATTGCATAATTCGTGAGTGTCACTTATATTCTTTTCTCACTCTATAGCATAGTGGTTAGAGCATTTTGGTTGCGTGCGATTAAGTAGTTTTCGCAAACCAGTCATCATAAGATCTAAGCTATAACCGATGTCTTAATACGACCAATAAGACCTATAAGTGACACAAACTGTGTTTGATGATTTGTTTTTGTGAAAGTTGTTTTAAATTTCGCAATGCCAGATAATACACGCTTTCGCAACAACGCAATATTCTATCTTTTAGCAATTTTATAAAGTTTATCAAAATTATTGTAACAGTGAAAACCTTTTTAATGAAGATATGCTTAAAAAATCTATCAGCTACCTACGCCTGAGGTAGCTGATACATTTTTTAAGCATTGCCCCCGAGGTGGGACTCGAAATATTTCTTTCGGCTGTTTTGGATGGACTGCCTGAACATTTATAAAAATACGGTCACTAATAATTAAAAAGTAACAAGTGCTTGAAAAATTCGTCAATCATCTTGGGTCTTGGATAACTCAAGTCACCCGGATCGTGAAAGGTCGTGGTTTCAAGTCCCTTCTCAGAGTACCAAGAGCTGGTGGATTATTTAAGAATTTTTCATTAAAATACTATTTTCCATGCTTATTTATTTATAACTACCCATTTATTTTAGTGCTAAAGATGCTGGAGTGACATTACTTAACGAAGTCGGTCTCGATCCCGGCATTGACCATTTGCTTGCTCTCGAGTGCATCCATGATATTCAAAACCACGGTGGTCGTGTTGATACATTTGTCTCGTATTGTGGAGGTAAATTACAAACGGTGTAATTAAATGTAGTGATAACTGTTTGATCGACTTATAAGTCACACAACTATGATACAATTTTTAGGGTTACCTGCACCTGAGTTCAGTGATAATGCGTTGCGTTATAAGTTCTCATGGAATCCTCGTGGAGTTCTTCTTAACACAATATCTGGAGCTAAATATCTCAGTAAAGGACAGGTATTGATTTTAATTATTTTAGTATTTTCTGCCATTTAAGATTTATTTTTAAGGGGTTGTTTTATTGAAATTAAGTACTACTACCTTTAAAACTTTTAAAACTACTTTTTAAATTAATTTTCAATGAATAATACCATCTTATTGAAAAAAAAACTCATAGAAAAATACATAAAAAATAAACAGTAAAACGGGATTCAAACCCTGTAAACTTTCGCTAATTAGGCGACTGCTCGGCATTTAAGACCGTAAACGAACAAAAACAAATTTATTCGATTTGCAGGTTGTCGAAGTGTTGGGTGGTGGAGAATTAATGTCGGTGGCTCGTGAACTAGATTTCTTGCCTGGACTAGCATTCGAAGGATTCCCTAATAGAGACAGCACGATCTATTCGAAACTTTACGGAGTAGAAGATGCACATACTATGTTTAGAGGCACTTTGAGGTATCGAGGTATGCAGACACATTTAGTTCAGCTCTTTACAACAATTTAGAATTGGGACGTACAGTCAACCGCAAGTCAGGTTGTACAAAACTGTCAAATTTCCCCACTCGATTTTAAACATGAATTCTTATATTTATAATGCCATACAAAATCTTTTATTCAAAATGTGACAAGAAGTTTGCTACCGTTCTTTAAGTTTAAATGTTGTCTTGTTTGTTTTTTGATAACAGTAAGGTTATTTGGTGGTCTACTGAGACATTGGGGTGCCACATCTCGTGGTGTCTACCACTACTTGGAAAATTTGACTTCCAAAACTTATAAACATAGATCAGTTAAGATAAAAAAGATCCACCGCTATTGCTATTAGGAAAAAAAATATACTCGTAGATAGAAACAATATTCTTGAACAATCGAATGAAAACTTATTGGTCACAGCAGATCTACGTTAGTGAGATTTGGTAGTTAGAATTACCACTCTGTTTTTCTCCTAAAGGTTTTGCAGAAACGATGAAGGCGATGCAGTTATTTGGACTCATCGACCCGAGCCCTCACCCCACACTGCATCCTGAAGGTCCTAAAGTTACTTGGGTAAGCAAAAAGTTTTCCTTTTACCTGATTTTTTATTAAATAAGATTTCTTTTCAGTTTGTAGTTTTTTCTACTTTTTGTTTTTTATATGCCATATATATGTCACCGAAAAATAACCAGAATCGCAAATTGATTTTCCTCGGATATTTACGAGTATAAACTTTCGTAGGATTCTAAACGAGAGATAAATTGCATTATTTAATGCTTACATTTTCGTAAATTGATAAACTTACCGAACTCATGCGTAAAATAACAAGTAAGCAATAACCAAACGCCATGTGCACTCTGATTGGCTGAATAAGTCACGTGTTACTTTTCCTTCCTCTCCACTGCCATAGTACGCCACAGAACATAAACAAGTTTGTGCTTGTATGTTTTTGTTAAGTTTTTAATGTTGTAACTGTGTTGGAACTGTAACAATAGTTTCATTTTGCTAACGTTACCAAAGTAGACCCATAATGAGTGACCTAGAAGCTGCGGACAGCCAATGATAATGCAGACACAAGCATTGCTACTATCAACATCAATTAATCATAGAGCAGTGTATTATTTGCCAATTTTAAAGAAGCGAAAATTAAAAGCTTTTCTGTGATTGGTGAATAATACAATTTATCTTTCGTTTAGAATTCTACGAAAGTTTGTATACGAGTATTTCCTAGGAAATTTATCAATTTGCGATTCTTGTTATTTTCCGGTGACATATATGTTGTTAATTTTAATTGATTTCATTTTTTATTTGCTAACATATTTAAGATAGGAATGTTACATCCGGGATGTTTATTTTAGTTTTTACAAAATATTTCATTTAAATCGAATCGAGTCAATGTAGAAAATGGACTTTCCTATATTGTATCAGCTCTAAGTGTTGCCTTCTTTGTCTAAGATACTCCATAATACGGCGATTTAACCATTTCTCTTGGCATCTGAGCAATGTATGTGTTAAATATATATATATTTTTTGTTGTAGCGACAATTTGCTTGTGAACTTCTTGGTTTGATGGACTCTTCTATATTCTATGAAAATTTGAAAACAAAGTTATCAGAACGTATTGGTAGTGAAGGTGCACACGCTTTAGAATCATTGGGGCTTCTAAGTGATGATCCAGTAGTTAAATGCGGTACTCCACTAGATACTGTCAGCAACTATCTTAGCAAAAGACTGCAATTAGGTAAGTGTATTGAAATAAAAACAAATGTATAAAGTGTGTAGTAAATAAGAGGGTTCATTATTATAATCAACCCCACTGCAGAAGCATAAAACTTTCCTGTCGATATAATCACAAAGGCAGAACGGGCCACAGATTTATTTAGAGAGTTAGGTTATGTTTTAGTGGTTTTACTGAAGCATATTTTTATTTATTATCTATCTCTCGAGCTTTTACAATAATAAACACATTTAACTATGGATTAAACTTAAAAAATCTGTGATAATATTTTTTTTTAGGAAACGATGAGACAGATTTTGTGGTGCTTCGACACGAAGTAGGCGTCACGTGGAGTGACGGCAAGAAGGAGAGACGCGAGATCACTATGACAGTTAGAGGAGATCCTCAATCGCACACCGCCATGGCGCGAACTGTCGGCCTTCCCACAGCCATCGCCGCCAAGATGGTTTTAGACGGTAATATTACTAAATGATCAATAGTTTTTTCATTTAATGCAACAAACATATTCAGCAACCGCTAGAAATCTGTTTGCCGTCGTCGCCATCAGGTGTTCCAGCTTCTGATCGCACTGGGTACTGAGTGATGTAGTTCAATATACTTGGTACTTCAATATACTGAAACATCAAGATTTAGAAAGGTCTTGCATATTTTTTCACGACCTCTTTTTTATGTACGTTAAACAAGCTTTTTTGGGTATTATCGTAGACTGGAGATCTAATTATATGTACCTACTAAGTTTGATATATTTTGAAGTTTGAATATCATAAGTAAAAAACCTCTATTTATAATTTTTAAGTAGCTACCTAAGGAACAGGGTTTGCTGGTAAATATTAACGGATATTTACGTTAATATATTTCAATTGATATTTGTAATATTTATTGTTAGTTTGAGTATTGAGACTCAGCTAAAAAATTAACACTGGTAACATTGGCCCGTAGTAGCAATCTTACTAAAAATTTCGGGCATTTCCTTTTACGTTACTGGGAATCCTCGCACGCATACTACTTTTTAATTATTTTACCCGACTACAGCGAAGCGAAAAGGAGGGTTATGATTTTGGCTGGAATGTATGAATGAATGTTCATCTGTTCCCTTATAACCTCGAAACTACTCATCGTAATCGGACAAATGATCACGATGTCTTTCGTTCTTCGTTATTATAATATAGCTATCGCTATAAAATAAATTTCTGGTCCCAAACTTTTTGAACTTATGTTATAATAAATAAACAAATATTATATAAAGCCACTAGAAGCATAAAAACTGCAGCTTTTCATATGCATAATATATATCGGATAAATATCAATTATAGAAAATTTAGGTATTTGTTATAAATATCGGATTTTTGCGAACCGTGCTATAAAATGTCTTATTGTACAGGTGAGATACAAGAACGTGGCGTGGTTCTACCATTTGCTCCCGTCGTGTACAAGTCCTTGCTCTCAAGACTCAGATCCGACGGCATTACAGCACGGGAGACATCTACGCCTCTCAATTAAATCTCAGATATATACATTAGCTTTTGTATTTTGTAATAAATACACTATCGATAGTGAATTATGTTGCCCAAAGTAGACTAAAATTTTAATCGTGTTGAACTGTGTTTTAATTCTGTAAATAATTAAGATAACAGAAGAAAACTTATGTTCTGTTGCGTACAGGATTTAATTACAATTATTTGATTACATGACATGACTATGGAATAACGTTTAATTATAAATATTTTAGTTAATAATACAACACAATCGGCACCATTATGTACCCAAGTTGATCGAATCTATCATAATATTGACGCTAGAAAGCTAATACTTACAACCCGCAAGACCACTATTATCCTTTAGAGCAAAAAATCTGTTTAATTTTTGGAAAAAAAAACTTATGAATATCTATGGTTAGAAAAATGATAACTCTAAGTAGATTAATATGGAAGTAAGGGTTTTGCGGGTTACTACGTGTTTGTTTTCTAGTGTCATGCACTCCATTTTGTGATTGTTTTTAAATAGTATGTTTTTTCTCGTTGATAATGCGAAGTATATCATTAATAGTATCTTTTTAAGCATTTAGTTAATACTGGCTTGCGCCAGCGGCTTCGCGTGGTCCCTAGGGAAATGTTTAGTAGGATAAAAAGTATCCTATTATTTAGATTAATGTATTGAATATATAGTAAAAGATCATAAGAACGTTGACTATATCAAATTACTGATTACTAGTTTTCCGTCAACGGTTCCTCCCCGTGGGTCTGAATTATATTAATGGTCAGTTGCACAAACGACCATTAAGGTTTAATAACAGCTTTAAGCTTTCATGAATGTTCTTAAATTAATGGCATTAAACTAATGTCAATTTTAACGAACGTTTGTGCATATTGATGAAAAAACATTAAAATCCGTCGTATAGTTTAAAAGATCTCAACGTACAGACAGCGGGAAGCAACTTTGTTTTATACTATATATATAGATCATAAAACTGTAACGTAAAAGATACTGTTAAAAATCTAAGTCAACTTAGTCAATTTGTACATACATTTTTATATCTTTAAATGTACATCACATTCTATGTGTATTCGATTAGAAACGATGATTAGATATTGAGGTTAGGTCAACATTCATTTATGTAATGATGGTTCGTTTCCGATCCGTTTCTATTTATATGACCGATCGTTTAATGATAAGTAATTGGTCTAGTATATTTTAAAAGTATTATAAGTCTTAAAATTAAATGTAAATGAATCGATAAGTGTGTTAAGAATTTATTGTTCTGAATATTTATTCAAATAGTTAGTTAGCTATTTAACTAAAATCTAGATACATTATAAGAAGTAATTTGGAAAAAAAATATTTATGTCAAATATTCTAAGAGATAACATAATTAATTATGCATTTACTTTTACCGATTATTTCAATTAGACAATTTGAAATAACTAATGTTTACCAAAAATAAAATTCGAAAAAGGACATATTTGGAATCGCCTTTTTTGAGACGTTCTGTGAAAAATCACATGAAATGACATGAAAAAAAATCCTACATTTTTATTGTATTTTTTATAGCATTTATTTGTTTTATATCTATTTTTTAATAAAAATTTCCTAATTAATTATTTGGTATTTTATTTGAAAGTTATTAATTTATTACGTCTTTATCTTTCAAATAACTCTACCGTGCGTAATATTATTATACCAATTGATTAAAGTAAGTAACTGTAATGTTTTATTAATACTATACATTTTGTTTTATTGGACTCGACTTATTATGTCGTCATAATCGTCAATGAATATGATATCAACTTAATATTTTTATACAGTGATAGTTTTCTACGTAATAAAACAATAACATGGAAAAACACCGTCGGTGCCGTAGATAAAATGTTATCAGCTTATTAATGTCCAATTTATCCACAAAATTATCCATTGCTGGGACACGGACCTTTATGCCTTGAACCCGGGAGAACGGGCCATATCCCACAACGCGGATCCAGGGCGGATTGGTGGTTGATAACGACTGCAGATGCAACAGGGACCAATAGCTTTGTTGTGTGTTAAACACATGGTAAAGCTCGAGTTCCTAAATTTTTGAGAGGCCTTTCCAAAAGTAGTTTATTCCGCATAGTAATCCACACGTATTATTAACCAATTCGCGAGCTCCTCACTTCAGATAAAATATATGAGGAGCATATTGAGTGGGGACGTAAAAGGGCTGGTGATGATGATGTGCCTATGTCAATCCCATATGATTAGCTACTCGTAGGTTTTAAAATCGGTATAGTAGTTTCGGAGTCTGTTCGATGTAAACAAGCAATTAAATCTTTCCTCTTTTTAATGTTATTATGGATAAAAACAAGGCTTGTCGATGTCAAGGCTTTGGAAGCTTTCTACGTACAAGCAATACAGAAGCACATTCAGAAAGCTACAAAGCGTTGCCAATCTGAATAATTCAAGTAGTTCACCATCAAATTATTGTTTCTATAGTTACAGTAAACTTGATAAAGCGAAAATACCTAATTTGTTGAGGAAAGCCATTATCAACACATTAAAATAGTCTCGAATAATAAAGATAATAATTTATGTTATTACCAAACAATTTTCGATAAGCATGTTTGTCAGACCCCCCTCAGTTAAGTCGAGCGCGTACCTATCATGTTGATAAAATCATGATATCAATAAATTGTGATTGTGACTTTAAATCGGTATCAGGCATAATATATCCGCTAGTGGCTTCGCCTTACTTCCTTAAACAAACATAAAATAACTCTTAAATAACTCTGTATATTCATGAAAACCACATTAAAACTTGTTTATGTTCTTTAAAAGATCTCATAATGCAGTTAATAAACAAGGTTTAGACTCAGGGTAAATTTTAGTATTAGTCCACATTCATATTATACAGAGAATAATCACACCCGTAGAAACTTGTACTAGGTTAACCTTTGCTAAGCTCTGTTTAATAATATGAATTTTGTCTAATACTAAGTGCAATCTCAGTGTAAAACGACTCCAATGCTAAACCTTGTTTATTAATAACACTGCCAGAGTACAGACAGCGGGAAGAGTCTTTGCTTTATACTATGTGTATGTCGCAGCCAAGTGGTATCATTTGCCGACCAATTGGGCGGATAGCCCTTTAATTGAATGGCAGCACTCAATTAACGAGTTGACTTTCGATTAGCCAAGTAGCTAATGTTGCGTTCAGTAAACATATTAACTGTTAATTCATCGCGAATATCGAAACTACTTGGTAGGATAAGAGTAAAATAAATTAAATACTGTAGTAGGTGATTTTAAATATAACTTAAAAGTTCCTTGTTACGATTTGTAATCGATACAGATACAGGATTTATCAAAAAGATAAAAAGCTTAATCGCAACTAGGTGGTAATGGCCCTTTATAATCCAATACATGGATGTTAGCGTATACACCAATAACGCAAATTTGTTAAGATTAAACTTTTTTCGGCTCTCAATCTTAGGGGTTCGAAATCACCTTCCCAACGGGTGAACGAGGCGGTGAATCATTGGATACCACCTTAGACAGCTGGTTGTTTGCCCTGAAGAGGCAACAAATATTCGACTACGAAACTACTGAGACCTATTTAAAATTACGTTTAGTTACATTATATATGGGTGATAAAGGTTATAATTTACCTGAGCAAAGTCGCAGAAAAATAGCTAGCTGTTTGATATAATCATATTTGTTTGTCTGTTAGTAAAATATATCTCTTACTAACCAATGCACATTGGTTAGGTTACTTAAAAATAATCAAAGGTTTTAATATTACTACCCATTTTTTCTCCTAAACGTACCTATATATTTTTATTAGTATATATTTTTTTAATTTGTTAGTCTAGAGCGGATCATCTCCACATGATGTCTGTCTGAAAATCATCGGCATGACGATAGGATTTTTTCGCCATGACAATATGCTGAGCCGAAGACTCGCCACTGTAGCTCAGTTCATCAGTCAATAATAATGTACGTTTTAATTACAAAACCAGTCCCGTACTCTGTCCAACAGTGTGTGAAATATTTTTTATTATTATCATTATTATACCACTAAAAGCACCAGTTCACGAGCATGACACATGAATGAGCCAGCCAATAAAGAGAATACCACACACTCCTCGTGAATCTATCGTCTACTCATTCATAACGCGTACATATGTTATCAAAATTGTTATGGTTCAATAATTTAGACAATACACAATACAAATGCCTACTAGTCATTTGCGTAAACGTATTTATTTTTCTTTTCAACATTTGCGTCAACTCTTTCAAAAAATAAAACGTCATGAACTATGTATTACGTATTACGTTTCATAATTTTCCTTAACCATTTAAGTATGTTTTTGATTGACGTTTTTTTTATAAAAGGAGTATAGGAACATTAAAATTGTAAAAAGAGGTAAAACTTTATGCGCTTAAATATCTGAGATATCTAACACTATTTCTTGTCCATAAACTTTTAAGAATCTTCCCATGTCCCAGCGAATACGCTCGGGTATGTCCAGGGTTTTAGTGGGTAGGCCTCCGTCTCACAGCAGGAGAGTCCCACACACCCTCTCATGCCGCAACAGGCGGGTGGAATAGTAAGTTTTCTTTGGGTTGAAAAAAGGTGCTTATTAAAGTGGGTGTTAGGTGTTAAAGGTACTTGTACAAAACCGGTTGAATAGTAATTATATTTAGTGCACACGCATAAACAAATTTATTGGTATTTCTGCAATATTATTATCTTTGAGTACTGTATTATCCAACTGTATTATGCAACTTGGAAAGGTTATAAAGTGTAGTGTGGAGGAAAAGGAAATTATATATTGTTCTCGCACTACAAAACTTCAACCTGGCAACCCACGTCCTCGCTCAATATTAATTAAATTTAGCACGCCACGATTGAGGGATTGCTTCTTGGCAGCCGCTATACAATTTAATAAAGATAACGTCGATAATAAGCTGAATTCGAAACACTTGGGATTGTCATCTTCCAAAGTAAGTCCTATCTACGTGAGTGA